TTCAAAATATACCTATTAAGTATATTTTATTCAAACTCATATAATTAAGATAGGTACATATACAAATTTAATTCTATTTTGTGAAATTTAAATTACGCTGTGTTCAACGTGACTCACGAAAGTGACTTAAGTTACAAGTTACACTTGCTTGAATGTTTAATCTTCACAAACTGGTACAGTTAGATTTTACGGACTTCATTCCACACCGGAAAAAATCGAAGTATATTTTTCACGTTTTGAATTATTTAATAAATGTACAAAATATATAAATCAGTAAGAATTCTTCGTGTCGACAGGATATCAGGCGGCCGACGGCAAGATGATGCGCACAATGTAAAACTACACAATTCTGGCTTCCACTCGCGATAATTCTATTGGCACTGCACGCCGCACTAGTCATTAATTCTAAATGTTATCTTTGCTGATCGATTCTAATTCAACTACCGACTTAAAATCACCAAAGAGCAGCGCAAATTAGTTACGAAGATCGACTTGTGAACCAAACGCATTGTACCGAACAGCATCGCACGATCGACTAGAAAGGGAAAAGATAGCAGGCTACGTGAACAAAGCAGATATGAAAATGATAAGAATTTCAATACTCACAATTGAATGCAGGCACGATTGCACGATCTCGTACACCGAGATCACGTTCAACTCCTGGACGTCTAAAAACAAACAAACACAAATCAGATGCGCTGTGATTTGTGACTTTAATTCATATTTAATTCGCTAAATTAACTAAAACAGTTTCAGAAACAGTTTCTGAAGATGCCCTCAGGACGAAACATGTTAAACTCCAAAAAACAAAAACTGTACATCCAAAAAAATCACATGGAATTTTAATAAATAAATATATTTTTTATACATATACAATTTCAATACTTGTGAAAGAATGATTGTTTTACGATATCACGTTCGCCCGCTAGACACCTAAAACAACCGAAATACAAAAAATCGAACTTTTTAAAATTTATTTTCGTTTTACATAAAAGTTGTGTATAAAAGTGACATGCGCACCGCAACTCTGTGCACCAAAAACAAAACAAAAATGAAGTAAGATTTCAAACTAAATCGATGAAAGCGCCATCTGGCCGTGGCGGTCCCAAAACAAAATAGCTAGCTGACACGCCTTATAGTGGCACCATCTGGTTTAGGACCACGAACTGAAACAATTACGACGAAATCTGTAATGCGTCTGCTTATATTTAAAAATAACATATTTAATTTTGCTTTTCATTATATCAAACGAAAATTTGTTTTGGTAGTAGGTACAGTTTACGATGTGGCGGGACGTTTGTGCGAGTATTCGGGTAAACGAACATTTTTAGTGATTTGCGCAGTGTTCCGTGTGTTAATCAAACAAATTATTTATGAAAACGATAAAACAAATTCAGTACTTACAATCTGATTGAGAATCGCGATGATGTTCACAGGACGGTTCGTTTCGCCTGCTATACGCCTAAAACATACAAAAATTGTACGTCGAAGCGCAAAAGGCGAAGCATTTTTGCGGTTTGCCGTGTGATAATCGCAAAAATTATTTGTAGTAATTAACAAATTCATTACTCACATTCATGATAGAAAGAATCGTTGTCCTAGGGCAATTTGTTCGCCTGTAGACACCTAAAACAAACAAAAATTAGCATATCGAAGCACAAAAATGACATTTTGCAGGTTTCGATGTGTGTCACACAAATTATTTATGAAAATGATAAACAGGTTAGTACTCACATTCTGATGAAAGAATCGTTGTCCTAGGGCAATTTGTTCGCCTGCTAGACACCTAAAGTAAAACAAAATTGGCATATCGAAGCACAAAACGCGACTTTTGCAGGTTTCCTGTGTGATAATCACACAAATTATTTATGAAAATGATAAACAAATTCATTACTCACATTCTGATGAAAGAATCGTTGTCTAGGGCGAATTTGTTCGCCTGCTAGACACCTAAAACAAACAAAAAGTGGCATATCGAAGCACAAAAATGACATTTTTGCAGGTTTCCGATAGTGATAATCGCACAAATTATTTATGAAAATGATGAAAACAAATTCATTACTCATTCTGATGAAAGAATCGTTGTCCTAGGGCAATTTGTTCGCCTGCTAGACACCTAAAACAAACAAAATTAGCATATCGAAGCACAAAAATGAAACATTTCTGCAGGTTTCCGTGTGATAATCACACAAATTATTTATAAATAATAGAGCAAACTCATTACTCACATTCTGATGGAAAGAATCGTTGTCCTAGGGCAATTTGTTCGCCTGCTAGACACCTAAACAAACAAAATTAGCATATCGAGCACAAAAATGACATTTTGCAGGTTTCCCCGATATGATAATCACACAAATTATTTTATGAAAATGATAAACAAATTCATTACTCACATTCTGATGAAAGAGATCGTTTGTTCTGGGACAATTTGTTTAAACTACTACTGGGAAAATTACCTAAAACAAACAAAAATAGCATATCGAAGCACAAAAATGACATTTTTGCGGGTTTCCCGTGTGATAATCACTGGAAATTATTTATGAAAATGATAAAGAAATTTAATACTTACAATCTTATACAAGAAAGGTGGTTCTACGATGTAAGACTCAGATTGCAAAATCCTAAAACAAGCAAAATTAGTCTTTTCGAACATAAAAAATGCAACTTTAAGGGTTAATTTGTAGAAATATTCTACAAAAGAAGTTATTTAGGAAAATGATAAAGGGAAATTAAATACTTACAATCTGATGCAAGGAATGGTCACTCCTACGATGTCAGACTCAGGTGCAAAATCCCTAAAACAAGCAAAAATTAGTCCTTCGAACACTTAAAAGTACACTTTTGGGGGACAATTTGTGAGATAATCACAAAGGTTGATTTGGGGAAGCTGATAGAAATTGAAGTACTTACAATCTGATACTAGAATGGGTCCTTCTACGATATCAGACTCAGAATAAATCCCTAAAACAAGCAAAAATTAGTCCCTTCCGAACATAGAAATGCACTTTTGGGTGACAATTTGTGAGATAATCACAAAAGTTATTTAGAAAATGATAAAGGAATTAGTACTTACAATCTGATACTAGAATGGTCACTACGATGTCGAAGACTCAGGTGCAAAATCCTAAAACAAGCAAAAATTAGTCTTTCGAACATAAAATGCAATTTTTCAGGGTTAATTTGTGAGATAACCACAAAAGTTATTTAGAAAATGATAAAAAATTAAGAAATACTTACAATCTGATACAAAATTAGATTGCTTCTACGATGTCAGACTCAGGTGCAAAATCCTAAAACAAGCAAAAGTAGTCTTTGAACATAAAAATGCAATTTGAAGGGTTAATTTGGCAAGGAATAATCACAAAAGTTATTTAGGAAAATGATAAAGAAATTAAATACTTTACAATCTGATGCAAGAATGGTGCTTCTACGATGTCGAACTCAGGTGCAAATCTGAAAAGATTTATACACCAGTTTAATTTCAAGGTTCTTGCTTTAAAAAGTTTTTCTAAGATTTGACCTTGGGAATTAAACTGGTGTATAAATCATTCATTACAAACAAATTATAATTTGATTATAACAACTAAATGTTGACTAGAATGTGTGCTAACTCATGATTATAAACGTTTTATGTTATTTTTTGATAAATATAAGTAAAGATTATAGTTGTTTTTAATAATTTTGCAGCAATATTGAATATATGTGAAGATGCCTGGTGTAAAATCAGGGTGTATGTTAAGGTTGCCTACATTGTAACTGCAAATGGTATACCCACTCCTCCAGGTTTTGATTTAAAAACTTTTTACTAGATTTACGACCTTGGGAATTAAACTGGGTGTATAAATCCGGTCATTGGGAACAAAATTATAATTTTATCATAACAAGTAAATATTTGACTAGAATTTGTGCTAACTCGTGATTTTAAACGTTTTATGTTATTTTTGATAAATATAAATAAAGATTATAGTTGTTTAATAATTTGCAGCAATATTGAATATATATATTAATACCAGGTAGAAGAGCTGTATGTTGGGTTGCCTATATCATAACAGCAAATTCTTAATTTCTCCTCCTCCCTTAACCGAAGCATTTTAATGGCTGCCACGTCGTCTCAGGCTTGTATCGAATACATATAAATTCTAACTAAAAACTACCTGAAATCAACGATGGCCCCAACGCTTCCCTGGGCAGGCATATTTGCATTCAAATGCAAGAAAGCGAGCAATTATTCAACCTTCACAGCATAATATCCAAGTGAAACATGAGTGAAGAAGGTCTGGATGTGAATAGTTTGCTAAACATGCAACAAAGCAATCAGAACCAAAGAGAAGTCAAAGAAGAAAACATCCAACTCACCAGAAGGATATTTGAATCCTGTGTGAGTAATGGAACTGTAAAGTCGGCCGCCATTGAGTCCTTGGGGAGTATAACCAACCAATGAGCAACAACTCTCCACCACTAGCTACAAATCCTAGGAGAATTCCACATCGGGGAAACCAACAATAACAAAAGCAGCAGTGGAATTCTGCAACAGTAAGGCAAAACTCATCTGAACATGCTTATCTCAACTCTGAAGTCATTAACAATACAGAGGTGGAGTCATCAGTACATTAATCTACCAAATGGTGAACCTCACACGAATAGAAACGTTTATATGAATATTGATACCAGAATGGTCCTTCTACGATGTCAGACTCCAGGTGCAAAATCCTAAAACCATCAAAAATTAGTCCTTCGAACATAAAAATGCACTGCAGGATCAATTTGTACGATAATCACAAAGTTAATTTAGAAAATGATAAAAATTACTTACTTACAATCTGATACTAGAATGGTCCTTCTACGATGTCAGACTCAGGTACAAAATCCTAAAACAAGCAAAATTAGTCCTTCAAACATAAAAATGCAATTTTGGGGTGAATTTGTACGATAATCATAAAAGTTATTTAAAAATGATAAAGAAAGTAGTACTACAATCTGATACCAAAAATGAGATTAAACTACTACGATGATAAACTCAGGTGCAAAATCACTAAAACCATCAAAATTAGTCCTTCGAACATAAAATACACTTTTCGAGTTCAATTTGTACGATAATCACAAAGTTATTGAGAAAGGCGATAAAAGGGAATTAATTACTTACAATCTGATACTAGAATGGTCCTTCTACGATGTCATATTCAGGTGCAAAATCCCTAAAACAAGCAAAAATTAGTCTTTCGAACATAAAAAATGCAATTTTATGGGTTAATTTATGAGATATTCACAAAAGTTATTTAGGAAAATGATAAAGAAACGTAATACTTACAATCTGATGCAAAAATGGTCCTTCTACGATGTCAGACTCAGGTGCAAAATCCCTAAAACCATAAAAAATTAGTCCTTCAAACATAAAAATGCAATTTTGGGGGTCAATTTGTGAGGTAATCACAAAAATTATTTAGGAAAATGATAAAGAAATTTAATACTTACAATCTGATGTAAGAATAGTCCTTCTACTATTTCAGACTCAGGTGCAAAATCCCTAAAACCATAAAAAATTAGTCCTTCAAACATAAAAATGCAATTTTGGGGGTCAATTTGTGAGGTAATCACAAAAGTTATTAAGGAAAATGATAAAGAAATTTAATACTTACAATCTGATGCAAGAATGGTCCTTCTACGATGTCAGACTCAGGTGTAAAATCCCTAAAACCATCAAAAATTAGTCCTTCAAACATAAAAATGCAATTTTGGGGTCAATTTGTGAGGTAATCACAAAAATTATTTAAGAAAATGATAAAGAAATTAAATACTTACAATCTGATGCAAGAATGCTCCTTCTACGATGTAAGACTCAAGTGCAAAATCCCTAAAAACCAGCAAAAATTAGTCCTTCAAGCATAAAAATGCAATTTTGGAAGTCAATTTGTGAGATAATCTCATGCGTTGCATACCACGCGGAGAATGCGATAAGAAAGTGTAAGTTGTGATCAAAATAAACGCAATTCTTGTGTCGAATGCCCACGTTTGCTGATATAGAAATAAACAATTTATTACTTTCTTTGGTGAATACGTAATCATAAAGTTTATGAAGATGCCCTCTGGGCGAAACATGTTAAACTCAACAAAAAAACCTGTAAATCCAAAAAAATCACGTTGTAATTTTAATCAATAAATATTTTTATATTTATAAGAAATAAACAATAAAAACCTATTTTACGATTTTTAGTCCATGCTAGTGCCATCTATAAATGATACAGGTAATAGTCCCACAATTTAGATTAATTATTAAAATTAATGAAAAAACTAAATTATATTTATGCAATTAAAAAGATTGACCGATTTTAGATCAAATATTTCCGAGATATTAATTATTAGGTCAATTTTTACTTAAGTAAAGGCCTCCAAAAGCGGTTTAATGAAGAAACTTGGTGAGCTGCGACTGCATTCAATAAACAAAAAACGAACTTTAAAACCGACAAACGTCGCACAACCTCAAGGCATAAAATTAAATCGAAAATAAATTGCAGACTTAAAAAGCCTGAACACGTATGCAGCGCCATCTATCGGTATACAAAGTGATCACAATAAAGTTGCATACAAGTTTAAATTTAGCAGCGCCATCTAATGGCAGGGGCCAGAATTACTCAATTTTGCAGAAAACTGTACTGGCTTACAGCATTTCTTTGGAACCTGTCAGTTTTAACGTTACCGTATTGACAAGCGCAAAAAAATAATTAAAGAGCAATTTTCATTGTATGTACAACGGAAAATGAGATTTATAAAAAGAAAACTTAATTACCTTTCTTTCCACGTTTGTTGTGACCATTCCAATACAGCCTTTTGAGCTGGTTAAGCCCTACAACAAACAAAAAAATAAACCAATCAGACAAAACATGGAAAAATATTCAAATGCCTTGTATTAATATTCAGATAATTCGTTGACAGCTAGTTAACGATTAAATGAAAACATAAATTTGACTTACCGGACGCAAATGATGATACTACATCTTCAAAACCGGCGAAGATAAAGTCCAACGTGTGTGTGCACAATGTTCGTGTCGCGAAATCTTGACAATATCATCTATTTTGAGATAATGAATATATAAAACGGATAAATCACGATACAAAACAGTAGTTTGACGGAAAACTAAATACAAACAGCGTTATTTATATTATATGAACGCGACGATATGAATAAAACGACGAGCAACGTGCTCCCCACAACGAACGAAATTATACTGGCGTTGAAGCCAGGCGCAGTGTTGCCAACTTCGATTTTGAAAAAGGCGTAGACTACAAAAATTCCTTTCAATAATTTAGTTTTTATTATTGCACTTGAATATGCATAAAATTTGTTTTGTCAAATTAAAATAGCTAATTTTACTTTCGCATTTACTTTTCCGCCCTTTGCCATCTGGTCGCCTGCGATTGGTGCCGCTTGTGTTGACGACGGTACGACAGCGGCTGTCATTAGTCATTCAACATCCAACCGTTCAGCTTCGACCACATCGGCGCTCAATTACCAGTGAAAATCGTGTTTCATTCGGGAGTTTCGCCGCTGATTGAAGCTTGAATGTGCTGATATTTCCTGCAATTCAGTGAGAATTTCATCAGGTAATATTTACCCTAGAGTCTAATTGGTAGTTTTCTGGCGGCGGCTGCATGTCGGGTAGGCTGACCGACTTCCCGTATGAGGTTAACTTCTGACACTCAGAAAGGGCTTTCTAAATTAAATTTAATTAAGGGAATACAAGAGAATGCATGGACTACGTGGCCAAATTGAATTGGAACAAGTCACACATGCATAATTTATTTAATTAAATTATCCGTGGTAATCACTGGGGACACATTTTATTTTTTTGACATTTTTGTAGTGGTTGTTAGGTGTTTCATTTTCTAAATAAGTTACTTTGACATAACGTTAAACATTATTAATTTTAATGAATAGGACTGAAGTAAAATAGAGTTTTACTGTTAGGTAACTTTATTTACTAGTTAAATAAAGAGTAAATGATAAGATAAAGATAGTTAGTGCTCATTATAAGTAATGTCTGTTGTCTGGTTCCAGGTGTGTACATGAAGTAATCACCACCATGAAGTTACACATTTTATTGTTTATGGCTGGGGCTCTCATAGCAGCTATTTCAGCAGACAATATAGATGAATTTGTAAGTAGATGGTTAATTTTCTAATTAGAATATTATGTTAAATATCAATTTTAGGAAGTAGAATCTGAAGAGGTACAAGACACGTTAAGCCCAGAAGAACCTGCACCGGTCGAAGACGATTTCCCGTACACATCACCAGTACCATCGAATCCAGCCGCCATCTACCTCGCTGAACATTTTGACGATGAGTCGCAATTTCACAAATTATGGGTAAAATCTCAGGCTAAGAAGGAGGGCATCTCCGAGGATATCGCCAAGTACGATGGCGAGTGGGCTTTGGAGGCCCCATCCCGTGATGGTTTACTCAACGACAAAGGCATGGTCCTGAAATCGAAGGCGAAGCACGCCGCAATTTCCTCGCGGCTTGTCAAACCTTTCGTGTTTAACACCAAGCCACTCATTGTGCAGTACGAGGTTAACTTCCAACAGGGCCAAGAATGTGGAGGCGCATACTTGAAACTTCTTAGCGACGGCATTGACACCAAGAATCTTGTGCAGTTTCACGATAAAACCCCATATACGATCATGTTTGGGCCAGATAAGTGTGGTACTGATCACAAGCTTCACTTTATCTTTAGGCACAAGAATCCCAAGAATGGCACTATCGAAGAGAAACACTGTAAAAAACCTAAGGAGAGATACGATGAACTCTTCACGGATAAGATGCCCCATTTGTTCACATTGATCATCAACCCTGATAATACCTATGAAGTGCAGATTGACAAGAAAGTCTTTAACGAGGGTAGCTTGTTAGAGGACTTCACACCATCTGTGAATCCTCCAGCAGAGATTGAAGATCCCACCGATAAGAAACCAGAAGACTGGGACGAAAGAGAAAAGATTCCGGATCCTGAAGCGAAGAAACCGGAGGATTGGGATGAAGATGCGCCTGCACAGATTGTTGATGAAAGCGCGACGATGCCAGATGGTTGGTTGGAGAGTGAAACTCAGACCATTCCGGATCTGAATGCATTGAAACCCGCCGATTGGGACAACGAAATTGACGGTGAATGGGAGCCGCCATTGATTGAAAACCCCGCGTGTGCGAATGCCGTGGGTTGCGGTAAGTGGGAACAACCGTTGATCAACAATCCAGAGTACAAAGGCAAATGGAAGGCACCTTTGGTCGATAATCCAAATTACAAGGGCAAGTGGAGGCCGAGGATGATTCCCAATCCGGATTACTATGAGGACAAACAACCTTTTAAGATGCATACTATTGTAAGTCACTTCACATACCTATTTACATAATATTTAAAAATGAATTTTGCGTTTTTCAGAGTGCTGTTGGTTTTGAACTTTGGAGCATGTCAGAGAATCTATTATTTGACAATATTATCATCACTGACAGTCTGGAAGCCGCGCAGGAATGGGCTGCCGAAACATATGACAAAAAGCGTGCTAAAATCACCAAAGCCGCTGTAAGTATAATTTTTGTCTAAGTGAGTAAAATGAATATTTGTTATGTTGAGGGTTCACTTTGGGGACGCATGATGAAAGCAATGAACTACAGGCCAAAGGCTTGGGCAGTTTACTTCATATACTGCCTAATCCCCATATCAATCTACATTTCCTACTTGGTTTATTGTTACCAGGAAGTATGATCACTAATTACTTGTAATTGCTTTTGTTAGGAAAGCGTATTCGAGCGTCTGGCGACCCTGACCAACGAATATCCAGCGTTGTGGGCTGTGTACATTATAGTGCTAGGCATTCCAGTAGTGTTTATTTTGTACCTGTGCTGTAGACCAAGCTCATCCTCTAGTCAGGTAAAGAAAATCTTCCTTTACGCTAAGTTATTAAAATGTAGCAAATTATTATGATGACATTATAAAATTTAACTTAAACTCAGGACCAGGAAGAGCAAAAACGTGCTGCAGCAGCTAAAAAGACTGATGAAGTGACCGCCGATGATGACATCGTGCGTGGAATGTCTGTTCATCCACAGGAGGGCGATGGTGATGCCGACGATGATGAAAAGAAAAGTATTCCGGTGATGATGACGAAGAAGACGACGTCGAGGAGGAAGATGAAGAGGCAAAGTACAAAGAGGTATGTATTACACATATTTTTCTATTACTACTGTTCGTAACAGCTATAGGAACATTAAAAAAATTATTATCTAAGTACAAACACACATTTAAACACCGATTTCTGTTCCGTTCTAGGTTCCTAAGAAGGAGGAGCCGGTGCGAAAGCGGAAAGCCCGCAAAGAATAAGCGTAAAATCACTACGTGCTAGGAATTGTTTCAAATTGATGATCAATCAGTACGTCGAATAACTAGCGCATTATAGTTCTAATTATAAGCGTTCGTTTCTAAGACTAAGCCAGGGGGCGCGCTGGAGGAGATTCATGAGTAGTTTAATTGAACGTTCTGCTTTCGAGAGTCGAAACTTAATATTGTAGCTCACCAAACTACACCTACATTTCACCACGAGCATTTGAAACACATCGCAACTCAACATTACATTGTTATCTATGTTTCTTTTTCTTGCAAGATTACATTACGACCAATCAACGAGTATTAGTTTGAAAATTTACACTACACGCATTTTGTATGAGTGTGAGTGTGCATGTTTGGCGATAGACAAAAATTATCATTTCATGTGTGTATGTGTGTGCATTACAGCATATTTGTGAAAAAAGCGTTTCTGCGTTTTGTACGAAATACGAATAGCGCGCGCGCAATAGCAGCTAAAGTTTGCCGTTTTCGCTGCTGGACATTAAGTTCTTTTTTATGTTTCAAAAACAAAGTTATAAATAAATATGTCTCGTCCTCGTATTTACCTGTGTGTCTATATGCTTCCTTTATAAATTCTCAGTGGATTTATAGCAGTTGCAATCCGTGGTCCTGCGATGTTCGGGATCTTCCTTGATCGGTATCGGAATGGTGAATTGCATGGTGTGTGAAATTGTGCGAGTTGCGCGTGTTCTCTTCGCAGTTTGGAAGGAATAGCGGAAAGAATAGAATTGTTGTCTTACTTCAGAACGTACTTCACTGTTTAGGAGACAATATATCAGCCCCATTAATAATCCCTGTAAAATGAAGCAGATTAATATTGACTGTATGGTAAATTTTATATAAACTTGGCAGGAAAATCTTCAACTTTTAAAGAAATCATTATTCCGATGCGCAATAAATCAATCCACATGACACCTCCCGAGTGTATCCATCAATTTATGTACATTTCGCGGCTTGTTCGAGTGCTATTTCTGTCAATATCTGATTTTTTCTCCGAGTGCAATCAATTTAATGGTGTTGTTTACTCACTTGAAACGCGCTGAAGATCTGATCGTAGCAAATCCAAATCAGTTCGACCATCGTCTCCCGGTAATATGATACCACACCGAGGCAGAGGACGGAAAGTGTGTACGGCACCGCGTAGATCAACATCAGGGTTAGCGTTGAACGCAGGAGGCGGCTGCAAATCAATGTCCGATATCAAGTTTACAACCAACGATTTACACACTGCGACGCGTTTCGTGTTACCGATATTTGACTTTGTTATGTTGGACGTACATCGATTTGATTTTGATGCACAGTATACGCATGATGGAGACGAACAGGCTGAAATTGATCTGAAACACATTCACCAATCATTTGTGCGCCATTTTTTAAATTAAATTGCATCTAAACTTACTAAAACTGACAAATCGCGTGGAACTTTAGTCAACCACAAAATATAATCGTTGTTTGATGTGGTCCAGCACATATCATCATCGTATAAAGTACGTAGAACAGCCCAAGTTGGAATAAAACATAGAGGAATACCTGCCATGCAAAAAACGTTATTTAATTTGCACAATTTCATCGTAAAATGTTTTTGACTTACCCCAGCCGAACAAATAATATATTCGAACGCTACTCTTCTCGGAGAATAAATTCAGAAACATTAAATTGTGTAGATAAATTCCTTCCATCAACATAAACATAAAATTCGCCTGCGTAAAGTAGTACCAAGTGCTCATAACGAATTTACAAACCCAGTTCTAAAATTTGAATTAAATTTTAAGCGTCCATCTTTTTTAATTCACATAAATTCGTAAATATTTCACTTACAAAGTGTTCAGTAATATAATTTGGCACTCCATTTGAATTGGTGGCTAAATCTGATCGGAATGCCAAGCCATCAACAATAAGGGCCGTTTTGAGGAGATACGCAGTTGCGCGTAAAATAAATGACATGAAAAAGTGGATGTGCAATACGTTCCGCGCACAATGCAATTTTCTATAAATAGAGCAAACAGATGCCAGATTAATACAACCAACAATGTCACAATTACTTTAGCATATGAAACATTGATAAATACATTCATAAACAAATATTTCAGATCATCATGTCCAATTTTTTTAATTGCTATTAAGACTTACTTTATGGAAATCAATATAAAAACGCAGAACAGTAGAGTAATAAGTGATATCCAATATCCATAATGGGTAATACACTTCAACGTGGGTAGCCATTCATGTAGCAAATGTATAAAAGACTTATTCAAACGGACGTTGATGTTAAGGACCGCGGTACCATTAGAGTACGAACGCAGGTCGCATTCTGAGTAATTTGTCCAAACTTTCCCTTGCTCAGGACTAACATACCAATTCCCATCAAGATCACATTGTTTTGTGGCTTGAAACTTTAAAAATTTTATAAAATTAAAATAAAACACATTTAAACAATAAACTTACAGTGTTTACAATACTGTCGCTTGCTCGCGCACTCGGACATGGTTGATGAGCCAATTCTCCTGCCCTGGTGGCCATCCAGCAAAGAAACCCATCGAAAATCAATTGACAAAACTTTTCATGTGCACTGAAGCTGCCATTCAATGGATGCTCTCTACAGGCTTGTTCACGCACGTCCATCTTGCATAAAAAAGTTGTTGCGCTCGCCTTCAACGACCTCCAACAACTGACCGGCTCGTCCAGGTCGCTCCTATATTTTTTGATATTTCTCTGCTTCCGTTTCGTGCAATTTTCCTAATACATTTATATCGTATGTCCAGTACGATGTGATGGTGTGTTATGAGATATCAGCGATGTTTATTCTTCATGCGCGCGTTGCTACTATCTGTCCCCGGCGATCGGTCGGGGACTGAACATATGTTTGATGGATGGACGGCGGCGATCGAGGCTTCAACTTTATCGCGACGCGCTCTCGTCTTCTTATCGCATTCATCATATCGTTCATTACATTCGACACAACGCAACAACCGGCAACAAAAAATCTTACTATTCTTAATACAGCGTACGCAAATGTAAAGGGACATAGAGCTCTTTTAATCATAATAATCTGAACAATTTATCAATTATAATAAGAAGATCTTACAGTTAATTCTATTTTTAAAAAACACTTTCAATGAAATGTATTATTATATCGATATTTTATATTCGTTTTTATGCAACACTCTGTTTACTTATAAGTTGTAAACATATTCATTTAGTGGTTCATTTCAATGTGCCAAGGAGCAATAACAAGATTGCTAGTGTTTTCGGCGTGGGTATTTTTTTTATTTGTTATTTATGCTTAACGAGATTGATAGCGCTCCTTTTCATTAGTTCCCTTAATTGTATCAAATCAACTCTGCTCAAGCAGTCAGCCCAAGTAAGTTTCATTAGTTCAATAACACTTGTATCAATTGCATTAACAAACCATTAACAAACCTCACTCACAGAGAGTCCAACGAAATTGTCAAATTGAATAATAATTAATAGATAGTAACTTCACTTCAGTTGAAGATGCCATTAATGCGACGATTATAAAATAATAAATATAAAACTCACAAAGAAAAGTCGTCAAATGGAAGGAGGCACTTTTTATTGTGACATTCGAGGAGCCAAAGCGGCGATATTAATTGACCAGTGTGTTTGCGCAGTTCTTGGATTTCGTCCGTTTCATGGCTATATGAGATTGCTATCACTCCCTTATCGATATGTTCATAATCTTCTATTATTTTTCTGTAAATATCAATGACATCTTAACTCAAATCAATCAACCTGCGAGTTTCACTGGTCGCCATTTTTTTTAGAAAGATTCACACATGTTAATTAATATAAATATCTAGATAACTCACCCGTCATATCCAACAATATATCTCGTAAGATCCCTTCTTAAAGAACCCAAATTCTCACTTAAATAAAACTTAAGCCCAGAGAAGTAGTTTGGCAATGCTGGTAACTCCTCTAGTTTTGTATCTTTGTTGCCATTCACGTCCCCCATTAGTTTCTTATCTTCTTGTCCTTGCATTATACGATGAATTCGCTCGATTTCCTCATCAGTATCCCGATCTGCAGTATATCCTTGTTCTTCGCTGATTAAATCCCAAGAAAAATTAATTTTCAGTAATATAACTGTGAATATAACCCCATACTTTTTAATTTACCTATCAGATAACTCAACTTCCTCCCAAATCTCATCTTCGCTTTCGTTTCCGGTGTTATCTCTGCGATCCAGACAAAATCGCCTCCATGGGAGTCGCTTCCTTTGTTTTTCACATTCAATTATCCATTGCTTCTTTACTATCTTACCTTTGCCACGTACTTGATTGAATTTTGGTGTGTTTGCAAACGCACAACTAAAAATATTTAGTTATGGTAATCATAAATATATGGAAGTATATTTTTTAACTTACATTAAATGCGTACATGTTCTATCCCAATCAGCTTTGTATTTTGCACCCAAAGCCATTGCGCTCGTTCGTAGTTGAGCCCTCTCCGGATTTTGAATACCGCTGATAACAAACACAACACCTTCTAGCAAATTTTCATAACGTTTAGTTTGGTGTTTCCTTTCCTCGCCATTTGCTCCCTTCATTTTTTTGCGTGGACTTTCGTTACTCTCATCTATTTCTGATGATCGTCGCTTTTGTTTTGAAGTGGTAGGTGAGGATGGTCCAGCATTGGGTGGCGTGGTATTAACATCCTTTAAAACATCCACAGTTCGCCGATTTTTAGGGCTTTTCGAGCTGTCAGGATCAAGCACACTTGGTTGGGTATCTGTTTTTCTTTTTCTGACTTGGTTACTATTTCCAGTTTTACCATTTGTATTCTTAGGTGTTTTATTTGGTGTCGCCTTCTTACTATCTGCTTTTTCTTTTAATTTCTGCTTTTCGGCATCTTCTTTTTGCTTTATTTCTATGAGGCGATCAATTTTATCATTGGGTGCTTCGTCTTCATCATCATAAAGCAAATTTTTCCGATTGCGATTTTTATCTTTTGATTCTTCACTGTCGTTCGAATCGTCCTTGGATGTTGACGGTTGCGGACTGGCAGTTGGTGGTCGTTTGACGATTGGAAATCTATGTGGCGAATGAGATGGTTTTGTAGATGCCTCTCTAATTGCAGCTGCACCTAAATAATTCCATATTTAAAAGTTAGTTTGTAGTTCAATGTGTCATCTTAATCATCTGTTACCTTTTAATGATGTTGATGGAATGACATCCAATTTCAAATTTTCCCGTTCTTTAGAAAACAAAGTTCCTACACTAAAAGAAGTAGGAGAGTCAGCCCGCAGAGTAAACTTGTTCACATTCCTTTTCCCAGCAAGTCCACTTCCTTCATTACAATGCATTGTAACAAAGGATAGCCCATATTGTACATGTTTGTTGTATTGTTGAATACAAACAATCTTAACTCTATCCCACTTCTCACTGCCTTCTGGTTGTGAGAAATTATTACTAGTGAACATTCTCACTTGATTAATATTCTGATGATTCCTAGCCTCCAAGGAGGTCATGAAGGATGTCATACCCAGCAATGGTTTAAACTCATTGCTGCTTGAGCGACTTACCAATACCTCAATATCCCGATCTGCAGTATATCCTTGTTCTTCGCTGATTAAATCCCAAGAAAAATTAATTTTCAGTAATATAACTGTGAATATAACCCCATACTTTTTAATTTACCTATCAGATAACTCAACCTCCTCCCAAATCTCATCTTCGCTTTCGTTTCCGGTGTTATCTCTGCGATCCAGACAAAATCGCCTCCATGGGAGTCGCTTCCTTTGCTTTTCACATTCAATTATCCATTGCTTCTTTACTATCTTACCTTTGCCACGTACTTGATTGAATTTTGGTGTGTTTGCGAATGCACAACTAGAAATATTTCGTTTTTATTATGTTATGGTAATCATAAATATCTTGGAAGTATATTTTTTAACTTACATTAAATGCGTACATGTTTTATCCCAATCAGCTTTGTATTTTGCACCCAACGCCATTGCGCTCGTTCGTAGCTGCGCCCTCTCCGGATTTTGAATACCGCTGATAACAAACACAACACCTTCTAGTAAATTTTCATAACGTTTAGTTTGGTGTTTCCTTTCCTCGCCATTTGCTCCCTTCATTTTTTTGCGCGGACTTTCGTTACTCTCATCTATTTCTGATGATCGTCGCTTTTGTTTTGAAGTGGTAGGTGAGGATGGTCCAGCATTGGGTGGCGTGGTATTAACATCCTTTAAAACATCCACAGTTCGCCGATTTTTAGGGCTTTTCGAGCTGTCAGGATCAAGCACACTTGGTTGGGTATCTGTTTTTCTTTTTCTGACTTGGTTACTATTTCCAGTTTTACCATTTGTATTCTTAGGTGTTTTATTTGGTGTCGCCTTCTTACTATCTGCTTTTTCTTTTAATTTTTGCTTTTCAGCATCTTCTTTTTGCTTTATTTCTATGAGGCGATCAATTTTATCATTGGGTGCTTCGTCTTCATCATCATAAAGCAAATTTTTCCGATTACGATTTTTGTCTTTTGATTCTTCACTGTCGTTCGAATCGTCTTTAGATGTTGACGGTTGCGGACTTGAAGTTGGTGGTCGTTTGACGATTGGAAATCTATGTGGTGAATGTGATGGTTTTGTAGATGCCTCTCTAATTGCAGCTGCACCTAAATAATTCCGTATTTAAATGTTAATTTGTAGTTCAATGTGTCATCTTAATCATCTTTTACCTTTTAATGATGTTGATGGAATGACATCCAATTTCAAATTTTCCCGTTCTTTAGAAAACAAAGTTCCTACACTAAAAGAAGTAGGAGAGTCAGCCCGCAGAGTAAACTTGTTCACATTCCTTTTCCCAGCAAGTCCACTTCCTTCATTACAATGCATTGTAACAAAGGATAGCCCATATTGTACATGTTTGTTGTATTGTTGAATACAAACAATCTTAACTCTATCCCACTTCTCACTGCCTTCTGGTTGTGAGAAATTATTACTAGTGAACATTCTCACTTGATTAATATTCTGATGATTCCTAGCCTCCAAGGAGGTCATGAAGGATGTCATACCCAGCAATGGTTTAAACTCATTGCTGCTTGAGCGACTTACCAATACCTCAATATATGCAGAATTCTCATTGCCAATATCAATGCCAGATATCTGAACTGCTTTCTCCAGTTGTAAAACTATACTGGCAGACTTTTCACCTGGGCGTGCACATTTCCACTTTCTGCCTGGATCTGAATTGAGGATATTAGATGCAGGATGATGCTGTGAATAAAATGTGAGATTTCTCATTAAAGTTAGAGTGTCAATGTAAAGCAATTATCTGAATACTTACAGGATCTTCTGTGCTAAATGAAACAACGTTTTCTATTTTAATTTTCGGCATGGTTGGCCTGAAACTTGAAATTTTGATGCGACGTATGAAAATGCGCGAAAATGGTAAACAAAATTCAAACGAACATTACATTCTAGGTTATGTGAATTACAGTGGGGTAACACGTAACAGGTAATTAAAAGTTAAACGTTTCACAGCCATCTAATTAAAACTTTAAAAAGATGAAAATAATTGGAATATTATATTTATATTTATTTTAAATTAAAATATAAGTAGAGTCTTGAATATCAAATATTTATTAGAAAGGTAAATATTTTTAGTATATTGGGTTGCCTATCACAAACTCCCGATTTCAATAATTTCAATAAAAATAATATGGTTTTAGTTAATAATTCACGATGTTTCTTCTGAATTAGTAAATATTCTTTATATATTGTTAATTAATTTAATTATAAATTATATTCAAAGTCTAATTTTCAAACCTGTCATTTCTACAGCTGTTTAGCAGTGTTGTAATTTTCAAATATAACAAAGCACGCAATGGCTTTATTAAAGTAAATTTGTTTATCGCGGGTAGAAGTGTGAATTAATTGTGATTACTCCACACAATTTCCCTCAACAATATAGGACAATACGCGGCTTGACGCTATCAGCCCAATCCACCAAGCGCGACTTTTGTTGGGGTAGGTAAAGTAAATGGAAAACCAGGTTACACGCGCAACGCGGCGAGTTTGCGCGCGTTTTCCCGCTTTGAAAGTTTTCCCGGTGGCGGTGGCCGGCAACTTCCCTCGGCTGCCAGTGCACGTTCGGCGTTCAGGATAAGTGCTTGTGCGCGTCGCGCTTTCCGCGCTTTCGCAATTCGCAGTTCGCTGGAAATTTGAAATTGCGCGTGGCGTACACCATTATCGCACCAAACGGCAAACACAGAGAGAATATAATGTGAGTGCGCCTGGAACGTTTTCCACGTTCCCACAGTCTCGCCGTCTTCATTCATCTCCTTCCACGCTAACGCCAACACAAATGTGTCCATGGTAAGTGGAATTAGGATGAATAAGACTCGTATTATTACTAATTCCGGTTCCAACTAGATTCCGAATTTATTTTTGCGCATAAAATTAATTAAAATTCCCACATCCAAAATACAAATATTGTTATTGCGCAAAATATTTAGTTTTATTAAAATATTGCTTGATTTATGCAATACATAATTTGTTTTGCGCTAAATTAAACTTTATATGAATATTTTATCGATAAAAACAATGTGAATGAATACAATAACAAATCATCGGAATAGTTCACGTAAACACAGCGAAGTTAATGCGTAACTTTATTAATATGCAATGAAAATTTGATTTTATCGAAATTCGCAGACTTCAGGAATACTTGTATTTTTCAAATACAGTTGTTTCAATTAAAATTTCCTGGAAAAACCCCCGGAGATTGATAAGCAGAATGTGAAATATAATTTTATTCCGGCTTGAAAGTTTTTCTACCGACGAAACTAATTATCGTACACAAGAATAATAAAAAAAAACTTTTAAGGACACGAAAACTACGTGGGACTATGCCGTAACTCGGTCGTAACTTTAGCACAAATGAACTTGGTGCATTAATGTTCGTGCTGGCTTGTGAAAATGAACATAACTCATAATTTTCAGTTTCATCACAGCCCGTCGACGTTTACTCGCAAATAACGAATAAAATAAACAACTGCGCTGTTCTCGCTCGAACAAAAGCAATGAAAGTTTATGCATTCTCAGCGCATGATATCTCAATTAATCTAGAATAAAATGAAATAAGGTATTGCGAAATATAAAGTTTAACGATAAAGCGTAAATGTGTTTATTTCGTTCAAAAACTGTTTATTTAGGTTTTTCATTGGTTTAAAACACTATTAATTAAAAATGTGATATTAATAACTTGTTTAAATCGATATTTATCTGCAGATATTTATTATAATTCTGTTATAATCGGAATAATTGGTCTAGATTAAAACAAAAACTCATTGCGGATAATTTAAAATCAAAAATTACAATTTTTGTGTTTTCCTCAGCTTTTAATCGAATTATAACCAAAATAACTTTCTTTTCTCCTCAAAAACAAATAGAAAACTTCCTCGTAAAACTTCTGTGCACATGGGTATTAAATTAACGGTTTTTAGATGTTTATAAGCTCAAAAAAGTAATTTTTTAAGGAAAAAAACAAAATTATGCAGAAAAATGTTCTTTTTGTTTGAAAAACTTTATTTTTATTTTTTAGTTTTGGTTTCTGCAATTTTTCTTTTATTTCTTTGTCTAAAGGTATTATAACATTGATTAGCATGTATACAGCAATTATATAAAAAATCTATTAATTAGTAATGAACAGAAATATAAATTAAATCGACACTTATCTGCAGATATATAGTATAATTCCGTTATTATCGGAATAATTGGTCTAAATTAACACAAAAATTCATTGTGGATAATTTAAAATCAAAAACTACAATTTTTGTGTTTCCCTCAACTTTTAACCGAATTATAACCAAAATAACTTTCTTTTCTCCTCAAAAACAAATAGAAAACTTCACCGCAAACAAAATGAAAGTTTCTATACGCAAACTCATAACAAAACAATTACTAAATGATAATATTGTATTATATTATATTTGCCCTGATCTTATTTTCTATTCATATGCTAAGTCTTTGCGGGTAGACTTTGCACGTCCGTCTTTGCTAACAGGGAAAAGTTTGCGCTTTGCAAACGCAGACAAACACTGCGCGAGGTCCGCGAGGCAATGCACAAGAAGAACATCAGCGGCTCTCTTCTACTCGTTTCTCTAATGCTGGTAAAAGATAGCACGATGATATCATTTCGTGAAATCCGTGTTATGCGCCGTATAAAATGAAAATTATTCAAATAACTTTCACAGCGGGCGCGGGGTAGGCGGATAGCTACCGCGTACGAATGCAAAGCGTGCAGTCGGCGTGATGAGCGAGTTAAGACCGGAGGAAACTTGTAGAAAGACGTAAAAATACGAAAGGAAGAAAAAAAAGGTAGGAAATATATAGGAGTGGTAAAAGGGATGGAAAAGAAAGCCATAAGGGATAATGTATCTATTTGAATTGGCTATATCTTCTAACGCGCTGGGCATACATCTAAATCTGCGAATGGAAGCAAATAAAGAAGAGATTTTTATCTAGGGGTTGTTAAATTAACCAGTGGATTTAAAAAAATTTCAAATTTTTAACAAATTCATTCAAAATTTTAAAATTTAATTTTTTTATGAAAAATTGTTTTATTTGTGTGCAAATGCATGATTTTGCGCTTCTTGTAAAATTTGAAGCTCACCTAAGCTTGTCAACAACAGCTTTGCAATTGAAAGCGCGGAGTTCTGCTCATTAGCGACGCAACATGCATTAAATTACGTCGCATGCGAAATAACTACACAAGTGAGTGCCTTCTGCGAGTGAACGTCAAGTAACGCACCAAATTGCGATATCGTCGTGATTTTCAAGTAGGTGACAAACACACATCTGCCAAGAGCCAAAAACCGTCAAACCAAGGATGTATGTGCCCATTTTTTGTGTTACTATTGAGGTTAAGTCATTCACTCGCCTGGCGTGTAGGCAACCCAATGCGTCGAAGACATTGGATTAGAATTTACCACTTGCTTGACGCGTCGCGACATAATACGACTCGACAAACGCTCGCTTCGAGGGGTTTCTAGAGTTTCTAGTTTTGCATCTTGAGGGGCTTGACATGGTGACGCTGGCATTACATATGTATCTCGAGTAGTCACCTCATTAGCATATTTATTTGCGCGTGCGGGGGATGTGTGCGTTTCCGTCATCTTGACTACAACTACTCCATGGGAATTTGAGTGACACCTTGTGAGTCTTTGCATGGATTAGGTTTCCACCTGGTTTACACCTGTCAAAATGGGGTGAAAGCAAAGGTTGTTTAACCCTTTATGTTAAATAATATTTTTTTGAGGTGGAAAATTCATAAATAAATTTTGGATGTGTTAATATTTCGACGAGAGTGATTTGGCAGATGATAGATATTGAATTCTAATTAAAAGGTTGAGTTTGTCGATCATACAGCTATGAATGGTTAAATTATACATGATGCGATATTGCCAATTTGCCAAATCAAACAGTTTTATTTTTTTTGTGTGGGAAAAATGATTGTTTGCTATTCTGTGTACATTGGTGTTAAATTAACAGTTTTTAGACGTTTATAAGCAGAAAAAAAGTACTTTTTTTTTAAGGAAAAAAAAAACAAAATTATGCAGAATAATGATTTTTTTCTTTGTAAAACTTTATTTTTAACTAGTTTACCCTTGGCTTCGCTCGCGAATATCTAAAATAATGAAGTTGCTTCCGTACGCGTCTGTAGTCACAGAAGAAGTAACAATGAAGTAGAATGGCGGGAAGTTTAAAATGGCTGAAAGTATAGTCTATGGAAGTATAGTGTACAGTCTCCATAGTGTAGTCAATTGGATTTGATGTTGACGTAGCTGTCGGTAATACTGTGTGATAATACAGTGTGATGGTACTATAGTACTTAGGTTTGAGCTTCATTGCTGGAATGCTGGATGGCGTTAAAGTAGTCAAATAGCCAGATGCAGAGGTATTATTGGCTAAACAATTTCTTTATTTTATTTAAAAAATAATTTTTTTTATTAAATAAAAAGTAGCCTATAACCATTCGAGGACCACTAAGAATATGTGTACAAATTTTCATGATGATCGGTTAGGTAGTTTTTGCGTGAAAGTGTAACAAACATCAGGACTTTTGCATTTATAATATTAGTAGGGATTTTTTAGTTTTGGTTTTGCAATTTTTTTTCTATTTCTTTGCCTGAAGGTATTATAATATTGATTAGCAAACGCCAAACCCTTTTTGCAATAATAAAAAAAAATCTATGAATTGGTAATGAACAGAAATATAAATTGGCGAATATTTCATGATAATTTCGTGGCGGCCACCATTGAAAACATAGAATTAATTCCAGTTTAAATTGAAATTTCGATTCAAAGCCACGCGCAGCTTTCACAAAACGTTCCGTTCAAATATTACAAAACTAACCGGATATAAACAGCTGCGACCAGGATGTAATCGTGCGTGATATTAATACGCTCGCAGCTTAAATAAATTTAATATCGCCAAATTATCATACACTAAGTATTTATTTAGGCATTCCTAAATAATCTATACTTTAAACTTCATTTCAACTCGAGTTTTGATTGTCAGTTGACTAGTAATTATTCAACATCCTGTATGACCTGCAGTGTACTCGCGTATGCAAATCCATACCTGCTAAATCTGCAAACATGTCAAGTTATTAATTATTGAACACTTTGGCCGTCGGATTCGATGGCTCGACGCGCGAGCACAATGCATCGCATCATATTCACCGCGGTCGGATGCACCGATGCGTTCTTACCTAGCGGCTAGCGTTGAGTTGAGGTTATGTGGGTGTGTGCGCACGCCTCGACAAACGCCACAATGAAAATTTAAATCTATTTGTACTGAATGCGCACGTGAGCGATTCGTCGGCACTAGCACCGCGCCCCGAGGAGCGCACGTTTGAGGTTATGAATATTTCATGGTTTTGGTTATGCAAGTTTTCTCTTTGGCTTCGCGTGCATCCACCCACACACACATTGCTAGATATCTATATGTGGTGTGTGTGCACAAATGGCAAATCTTTCAGCCGGTGAATTTTGTAGGAAAATATGATTCTAAGTTTATTCAGTTATTCAATGCTCTCCATTCAATTTTTAATAATTTATTTCGTAAGCTTATTTACTTGACAATTCGCATTCAATTGCAGGCAGGAATAACACAAAATGAGTTTGAAGAAAATAATACAATGAATGTTAATAATTCCCGCGTGAAAGTTGGCAACGCTCGAAAATAGTTTTATTCATAAATTTATCATTGTCTTTTACTTAGCGGTATATCTTTGATATTCGCTGCGCCAAGTTTGGGTGAATTCAGTAAATTTTCCGTATTGTTACGGCTGCTGGTCTCGCATTGTCTA